TAATAAAGATAGCCCTTGGAGGTAAAGTAGCGAGAGAGAAGACCCAAAGAGTTGAGATTTTAAAGCTGTGAAGTTTTTTGGAACTTCAGAAGACATTTGCCCTTACTTTGAGGAGTGAGTAAGCAATCAGAACATTTGTTCTGTGTACAGAATGTGCACAAAAAGGTTCCCTTTAATGGCCATGAAAATCAGACAGCAACAATAGTGACATGGTAGCAATGTAACAAAAGGAGCACCTAATGTATCAGCAGCACTGAATGTATCAGAATCTCTTCTTAATGAAAGTCTTCCCAAACAACGTTTAAAACTCTCATCAAAGATTAAATATATTTTTCTTTCTAATGCTGAGCCAAAAGAATCTAGAAACAAAGCAAAAACTTCCCAAAATGCCCACGTTTGCCAATGTATTTAGCTCATACAAAGTTAATGTGAATAACTTACAGCTTTTAACAAAGACTAGAGCTTACAGGGGCTTTCCTGACACCACCAACTTGAAACAAAGATAGTCCATAAAATAAGCCTTTCAAGCACGTTTTCTCATGTATTTACCAATACCACTTAAAGCTTCAAAATTCACTTCAGATCAGAGCAAGAGTGTTGTTCAATGAATACACTTTTTGAAATGTCTTGGTTCTTCCTGTGTCATCTGAATTTCAAAGGGGTGCCTTCCAGTCAGGACAAGATCCTTTCAGGTTTAAGCCACCAGTATCACAAGTCCAGGCTGGAAGGGGAGGGAACACCACAGATGCCAAAGAGGGAGAAAGAAGGTGGGAGTTGGAGAGACAGAGAAAATCAGCATAAATCTGACATTAAAATTGGAGACTGTTAGATCCAGTTACAAACTGGGGACATGAGCAGGAGCCAGCTGGTAGACAGCAAGACAAATTTCCAGGAATATGTGTTTCTGGAATGATGATATGCAAACCAATTGATTAAAAAAAGTCATGTGAAATGTCAGGAGGGAGAACAGCAGCAGAAAGCACTGTGGGAGGGGGTGGAGGAGACTTCAGCAGCCTACACAACCATCATCCGTGGGTCCCAGCCAAAGCACGTGTTGAGGTCCTGTCACATCCCAGCCAGAGTGCCACCCCAATTGTTCCTGCCAGCATGCACAGCTTGAAGAGGGTACGCCAATACTGTGTTGACTCTCTGTCCCCATTGCTCGGGGCTGGGAGCCCAGCGTCCCTCTGATGTCCTGTTCCCAAAGGGACTCCCACCACTGGCAGGGGGGTCAGAAGGAGCTCTATGGGAAATGGGAAGTTTATCTCTATAAATGTTCTGTGAGGAAAGCTCTGGTGCAAATATGGGGATGACTGACAGTAAATACATTCCCCAGAAAAATAAGCCCTGTGCTGTGAGTATTAGTAAAAGCTCCTAGTTTTTTTAACCCTCCATCTGTCAGGGGTTTACACTGCAGCTCTGGGAAAGCTGCTTTTCTCACCTGATTTCCTCCTCCCCAAAATGGGGCTGGGAATTCTTATACCATAACATTTTTTGCACACTTGGTTTTTCCTTCCATTCCTCACAGAGATGAAATTAAGTTTTTTGTACAGTTATTTTTTGGGTTGGATTTCTTGGGGTTTGGTTGTTTATTTTTTTGGTAGATAAGGGTAAGGGAAGGACAACACGTCACCAAGGATTAGCCTGTACTTCATAATTTAAATTGAATACTGTATTTTTGGAGCAGAGCTAACACCCTTGAGCTAACATCTCCAAGATCTCAGCTGAGTGCTCTACACAGAATACTGTGGCTGTTGTGCTCTTGAAACCCTTGACCTCTCAAAAACTAGAATTCTACAATATTTTTCCTGCTGAAATTTAATCCAAACCAATAAGTTTCCATAAACAGATCAGTTTTGAAGAACTAGTTTTCTAGTAAAATTCAAGTTTTGAAAATAATTCTTAATGAAACTTCACCCTGTCTCAAAAGGAAAACAGATACAATAAGTAGTATTGGCATTTTCTGGAAATGCTTATGGCTGCTGTGTAACCAGACTTGCAAAGAGTTACTAACATGGGGAGTGCTGAGGAGAAATAACTCCCGCTCCATTCACTTGATCTTCCCCTCATCATAACTTCATCCAGTTGTCATGCAATGTTGAAGTCTGCTCATACAAATTATTCTGCTTCCTGAAACCTCACAAGATGTTTGAGTCCAACATGTAATAGATGATTACACTTCAGAACAAATAAAGCCTTCACTTCAAAACTATCCATAGTGTACACATGCTGCTGACTGCATCAGCAACAATGAAAAGCATGGGGTTTCTTCTTGTTTTTTTTTTTTTTTTTTTTTTTTTTTTCAGATTGAAGTTTTTTGGTCAGGGTCTCTCTATAGAAGTCTGTGCATTTTTGAAAATACCTCCCCTGAAGTTCTTATTTGTCCATTTCATATCTTCTTTACTTTACTTTCCTCCTTTGTATGAATGTAATTCATTTTTTTTACTGAGCTGCTTGATTCTGTCTGTGCACTGTCTGCAGTTTCATTAACTATATGGCAACTTCAATAGTACTTCACTATATCTTCAGTAGCATGGCTAAGAGTTTGGTCACTGCGGGACATAATTCAGAGCTGATGTCAGTCACTAGAGGCCATAAACTCCTTGATCTATTTGTCATTGCTGTGAATTGCAGCATACAAATCACTGTTTCTTTTGTGAGAAAATACAGCAACAGTGAATAAAGGAAATGCAGATGGTGCTTTATAGTGTTCTCCATTTTTTTCTATTACCTTCCTACAAGCCTAAAAGCATGTCTTTGGCAGTGCATTTTCAGTAATGATTTTGGTTCCTAGGGAGGAGCATTCAGCAGGAGGAATGGGGAACACTGGATTCCACTCCTGGCTCCACAGCAGCCTCTAGATCAAACATAGGGCATTCCTAAAAACATCCCTTCCCACTTCTGGGAAGTGCTTTGAGATCTGCAGTTGAAAAGTGCCACTGAAGAACTAGATGTTGCTGATTAATGCTTTTTACAGGTGGACATTTTAAAACTGATATTTAAATTTCACCTGCCCTCCACCCAAAATATACACAGAGGGAGCAGAAAGAAAATGAGAATGAGAAAGAAACAAAGCTGCTGAAGCATGAAAGTTGATCTGGAAATGAGCGAAAATCTCTGCCTCTCAATGAGCAGCCTCAGTTGGACATGCCAAATCCATTCCTCATGCAAACCCATTGCCTAGTGATGCTGTTAGGTGCTGTGGCCACAGCATCTGCCAATCCTGAAGACTTTATTATTTTCTTAATTTGTTGTAAGAGGCTGGAGAAGATTAAAAAAGGGGAAATAGTTTCTAGTGATCCAACTGTAAGAACTCTGAGCTGCAGATGATGTGGGGCCTAAAAACCTTAATGCTGCCTCCTTTAAATGTGTATTGTTTCACAGTGGACTGTAATCTCGATTTCCTTGATTGATAGGGATATAATGCCTAGGAAAGAGTGGAATGGATGGGCCAATTAGAAATAAAGACCCAAGAAAAGGTCAAAATGGTGGAGCACTTCACTATATTTCTTGAAAGATGTTGGGTATTAAATGTCAGATGCAATCTTTGTCATGAAAATGAAGTAACAAGCCACTAGTGTGACCCTCTCCTCTAAATGATAGTCTTGTCACTTTTTCTAATGCTCTTTTGCCAGGGTTTAAATTGAAGGAGAATGCTGCCTATCTTGTAAAATATTTAAATAATAGAATATATCCAGGAAACAGAAGGAAAGTAGGAAAAGGAGGGAAACAAAAAAATCTCTAGATAGATACTTTTCAAGCTTGGCCTCCTAAAATGTATGTTGTGGTATGACAAATCAGACACTAAGAGTTGAATACATTCTGGTTGCATTATTGTTTTATTAAGATGCTTTCTGCTTTGGGTTTTGACTAACCCCAGTCCACCTATCAGCAGCAACAGGCATGATGGTGCTTGTCTCAGTATGGGCAGATATTTCTGTTTAGTGAGACAAAGGAAACACCTACTGAAATGAAAGGGATTTGGCAGCCTTTACTAGAAAGGTTACTTTACAGTTGAGATATAGCCTTTTATAATGCTCAGCATTACCTTTTAACATGTATTTCTATATCATCATAGTACTGTCTCGGAGTTTTTTAATCAATATAGAAGATTCAGCTTGGTCATCAGTTCAATGCCCAGTACCCCTCTACTCTGGCAGTCCTTTACATTGGCATGTCTCCTCTGATCTGTGTCAGTAGCATCCTCTTCTTTTAAAATTTCCCAGCATAAAAAGTTTTCTGGTCATTGAAGTGCAGATCTCAAAGCACTTCACAGAAGTGTGTTATGTTTGGAAAAGTATATTAGCAGACTGCTACTCTGCTGTCACCCTTTCCTTATAAACATTCTGTTACCTTTTCAGTGGGTGCACTTATTGGCAGGGGTGCCAGGGAAAATAATATGAAAAGCTTCTGCTGGGAAATGCAGGCTTGCCAAAACTCCAATGAAACTTGCTTTATTTATGCACATAGGTAAAGCAGGAAGCTCAGGGTGAATGCAGGTGGAGGCACATGCCCTGTATAAATGACCCAACTTGGGTTATATACTGAAGCATCACGTTTCTACCTCATCCTTCAAGCAAACAATTCACTTCTATTTGAGAGGGAATCAGCATACAAATAAAATAGTTTTGCAAGTTTGCCCCATGATATTATTGCTAGTTCTGAATCTGTACAGTGCAGTTACTGTTGGGCATGGTTTAACTTGTATAAAAATGGAAAATAGTCTTTCATCTGAGTCAGAATTACAGCAAACTTCCATCAAGACAAAAGCAGTTTGTCTCTGTACTGGCAGATAACCCATGGTGGCACTGGCTTGGTGGCATCAGAGCAACAAGGTCACAGTGACTATGTCCATCCTGCAGAGCAGACACACACAAGGACACTCCCTGTAGTCTGGTCCCTGATGGTTTAGACTGGGAATCAATTGTACACCTTGCAGTTCCCCTTCTTGCCTCATGCTTCCCTTTTTTTCCTCTGACAGTGCAGGCATGGAAGGATGGGATTTCACATCTCAGCACTCCTCTCAGTACGGAGTAAGGAAGTGACCAGAATACACATCAGAGCTGAGAGCTGTGACCTGGGAAGTTCTCTTAGCTTCTCCTGTAAGGATGTATTATAGACATATCTCAGGTGAGATTGGTGTGGCAAATACTCCGTGCTGAGATTATGGATTGTTCATTCCTTTTTTCTCTGGACCCTTGGTCTCTCCTGTACTTGGCAAAATAGCAGAGGTCTAACTTGGACTCTTACGCAAAGTATAAAAGACAGACAGAGACAAGAATGGAAAGGCAAGATTAGCTCTATCAAGAGCAAGCTATAGATGTTACAATGTAGGAAAGATAATGAGAAATTAAAGGCCTAAATTATGAATAATTAAAGGATAACTTGTTCTACATACTGCATTTTTATATATATTCAGCAGAAGACTGGAAGTGACTGAATGGAAAAGAGTGAACTTCATGTAATGGGTTTCACCTCCTACTCACTTTCATTCCATTGAGCTTTCCTTTTTTGACCCCTTTCGTAAGAGAAGAACCCATGAGTCTCTACCTCCTTCCCTGGGTTTCCTGAAGTTTTAAAATAATACATGGCCTCACCATTCCTACCTGTGAGACTGCTCAGTATCTCCCTACACTGCATGCACCTTTCCCTTTCCTTTCCTTTCCCTTTCCTTTCCCTTTCCTTTCCCTTTCCTTTCCCTTTCCTTTCCCTTTCCTTTCCCTTTCCTTTCCCTTTCCTTTCCCTTTCCCTTTCCTTTCCCTTTCCTTTCCCTTTCCTTTCCTTCTTTCCCTCTTTCTTCCTTTCCCTTTTGCTTTCATTCCCTCTTTCTTTCTTTCCCTCTTTCTCTCTTTCTCTCTCTCTTTCTCTCTCTTTCTCTCTCTCTCTCTCTTTCTTTCTCATTGTCTCATGTTTAACAGGAAGACTGATTAGCAGTCTAGGAGAGTATCTTTTGTCAGTTGCTGTGTAGATGAAAGCATTATCTCAAATAGCTCAGCACTGGTACAAGTTTGCTGGATGTGCAGATGTCAGACAAGACAATGTGCTGGGCTTATATTTCCACAACAATGAGCTTGGAGCTACAATTCAACAGGATGGAAATAAATCACATTTTCTCCCTTTACTGGTCTTTTCTCACCTTGACTGTTTGCTTTATGCACATTTTAGAGTTGCAGTAACAACACCTCAGTTGATTCTTCCCCTCCAACAAGGACAACCAATAACATCTTTCATATCATCTGAAAGATTGCCAAACAAGGTTTTTCACATATAAAAATTCCCTTCAAGTAATGGGAAAGGGAATAAGGGATGCTATCAAAATGAAACACGCTACATTTAAAGTTCTTTCATTGCAGTTTTTTTTCTTCTGTATCTTTACTTTAAAAGAAATTACATTATTTCTTTTAGTGATTGTTGATGTGAAGCTGCTCAGGCTGAGATCTCTGTTCACACCTCCAGATCTTATTTAACAGTTTAGTCTTGTACAAGACTGTGTCAACTTCTTTGGCCTACTGAGCTCATTTATTGTCTTTATTCTTTCAAACTCATGTTGTCAGAGTAGGCAACCTGAAAAAACTTGAAAAAAAGTCTCATTGAACAGGATTTTTCTCCCTCATACAGCCCAGATGAAACCAGCTCTGCTTTCTGCACACCTTCTCCATTCCTTCCTTCATCTCCACCAGCAATCATGGAGTCTTGCCCACTGCAAACCGAAAAGGGATCTTTTCCCATTCAACCACCCAGTGGCTTATCAGAGAAGACCACAACTGTCAGCTGGTTGACAATTCTTACATGGAATATTTCAGAATACTTGCCAGAGCCTCAATTTTAAGGCTGTAAGGGAGCAAAGAACCTTCCCAGAAGTCTCCTGAGTTGGCTCAGATTGATTCTGTCCATTCGCTTCCCCTTCAGGCTACTGCAGAGGGAAGGCGCTGAACTGTAAGCAGCAGTTGTTTCAGTAGAGTGCAGCAGCCTCAAATTCCATCCATGACTTTCTTATTGCTAAGCATTCTTTACCACAGCAAAAGTATTTGTTTAATGGGAACCAGATTTGGGTCATAAACCTTAAGCCTATCAAGCTTTATGTTAGCTAATGTTTACTTTATTGTATTTTTTTTTTTTTTTTTTTTTACTCTTTCTCTCTCACTGGTAAAAAAGACATTGCTGTAAAGGGAATGCAGGGAAGCAAATAAAGCAAAGGAAATCAGGAAATACTATGAACTGCGTGTGACTCGCAGCTGCAGGGTTCCTCACAATAAAGAACCCTGCCTCAACAAAGTGGCTTATGTACTTTAACAAATATCAGCTGTTTGTTTGGGGTGTAATGAACAAACTAGAGCCAGAGTGACAACTGCTTCAAGTAATTATGAAGACAGCTTGCAAACTATGGCCCCGCTTGTTTCAGACTCTAAATGACGACAGTCGGGCTCCTGTTGCTGCCAGCTTTATTTCTGAGCACTTTTATTTCCATATTTCAAAGGTCAGTGTGTGGTGGCAATAGCAGCCAAAGAAAGCCTGTGTGAACAGTGTGTGTGTGCCTGTGTCTTCGAGAGAGAGAAAAGAAAAAGAAAGAAAAGCATTTTTCATCATCACCAATAATTGTTATATTAATAATAAACTCTTAATTAAGTGTTTATAATATGTTAAAACCAAGGAACCCAGATGAGTTTGGGGTTTCTTTGCTGCAGGCATTATTTATGCGTATAGCGGGGGGGGACTCTGCCCTGTGGAGTTTACAGTGGTAATAGTAGAGATGGCAGAACATGATCCCAGGGAAACTCAGTGTTGTTCTACAGAGCCACGGAAACGTGAAATAACTTATCCAGGCACATAGAAGGCTTTACATCCAGGTAAAACCTCTATTGATTTGAAACTCCCTGAATCTCAGACCATTAATTATATTGCATCTTTTCCTTTTTCTAATACCTGTAATTTATGTTTTATAATGCTGTTGATTTATGTTTATACAGAGGCTGAAGATTTTGTGGTATATAAAAATCATCTAAAAGAAACAACCTTTGTGCTGAAGAGATTATCACATATGTGGAACAATGCCTGGTGAAACTTCTACAGGATTTTGGGAGATATTTTGGAGAAATTTATCTACTGAATATCTCATGAGATAAACATGAAATAGCACAAAAGTGGATGTGAAAGAATAAGGAGAGAGTTGAAAGGAATGGGTTCCTTGGTGACACATGGACAGGGGAAGCCACCTTGCTCACAGAGCTGGGGTCTCATTTCAAGCACACCTTGGTCACACCAGGATTTGTGGGAGAAAGGTCTGAAGAATGTATGGAAGGCATGGGCAAGTTAAGGGTCTCGACACAGGAATGGCAGGAGGTAACATAAATTCTGTGGCGATTTAAAAGCAAGAGATTTACATGTGATGTAATAGGAGTGAAGCCATTGTGCCCACTTCCAAGGAAATGATTGTGGATTTGTGTGAGCCACCTGGGTAAACTGGAAAAAGAAGCCAAGCAGGGTCAAGGCAGCATCTTGGCTGCACTGACAAGGAAGGCAAGTCAGAAGGTACGAAACTGCTAATGAAGCAGGAGGAAGGTTATGAAAACATGGAAAATAAAGTGACAAAACTAGAGAGATGTTTATGAGATGCTATGAATGTAAAAGTGACAGCAGTTTCCCTGGCACAGCCCAGTGGCTGTAAGACTTGGATACAGGGAAGCCTATGAATTACCTTCTCAGATGCTTATGTATGTGAACAGATATTGCAGTGACATGGAGGAAGAAGGAAAATAAATAATGCATCCTGTCCTTCACATTAATCTTATGATCCTTTGTAAGATGAGCTTTTTCCCAAATTACAGGAAATCAGAAACTTCCACTAAATCCAAAAATAAATACAAAACAATTGATGAAGGACAATAGACTGTAGCCAAAGGTAGACAAATACTTCTTCAGTGAATTTGGAAGTATTTATTAATCAGATGTAAATAGCCTTGCTTCTAATACAGTCCAAGTTTGGCAGCTGCCTAATCTTGTTTTTTACCTGGTTTAGGAAAGACAGTGTAATTTCACTTACTCTTGAGCCCATTCCCAGGCACTTCTTTCACTCAGAAACACTCTTACACATGTATCTTATTGTAAATATCTATGTTTCTCCAATATCCACTACCAATGAGGCTCCGTATATGGTTTTTTTAACCATTTAAATTCTAGTTCATCACCTGTTTATATTATGTGTTCATGTTTTCATGGGAAGAGACTGATAAATTTTGACAGGTTTCCTTGTTTTGGTGCTCCTGTTCCTTTGTGGAGAATTGTCTCTTCCTTAACAGATTTGACCAGTTCACATCTGATGCATCTTTGCAGGAAAGCCCACATTATGCCACATGTGCCTGAGGAACAGAGCATCAAGAGAAAAATAGTTGATGAAAGAAACAGAAGAGGTGAATTATATGACATTATGCATTCCTAATGTATAAAACCTTTAGTCTGAAAAGCTGAGAAAAAAATCCTACTGACTTTGATTATTCCCGATGTAGGATAATTTTCAATATCTACTCGAGACACGAGAGTTGTAAACTAAACCTAAGTAAAATTTGAATCCCTTTATGATAGCCCTTTTCTCATTTTCTTTCATAATAATAGTTTAGTCTTATTCAAGACTCACTTGGCAGATTTCCCAGCCTGTCTTTCTGTAGGGTGGCTCCATTAAATTCAGCAGAGAGCAGCACGTGCCACTCTACAGTAGCCATTTCACAAGCGGTCTCTGAATTTCTTTTAGTGATGAGTGCATTCAGTTTGCTTTTCCCCTGATAATCTTAGTCTTACACAGCACATGCTCACACAGGTTTCTCCAAGGTCAGGTCACTCTCAGCTGCTCCAGCTGAAATGAGGGAGGCAGAGAGCTATTGCTCTAACTGTCTCTCATGGTTGTCATTTATAGTTCATTTCCCAGTTGAAGTCCCTGGAAATTTTTGCTTCTTAGCAAACCAACTGATGCAGTGTTTTAGCTTCCCTCTTCTACTGCACAATTATTTGTGTGTAGAAATTGGAGTGCTAAGCTTAAATGCAGATATGTATTTAAGTCTCAGTAAATCCCAAAATAGCATAAATAAAACCTTGAAAATTCAACTGTCTTTTTCTGTTACTACTAATGAGAGATTAGGTTTGTTCTCAGTAACATTTCTATAGGTTACAGTTGTAAATGGTAATGAAGACGCAGTATTACAAAGCAAGTATGTAGTTGATAGTGAAATAAGTGCTGTTCAGTTTGTAGGAAAACAGATTGAGAAGGAGGCTTAGCAACATCTCAGTAAATCATGATATCATTTAAGACTTGGTTTATTTTTTTCTTGTTTTATAGAGCAGAGGTGTTTACTTCAAAGCGTGGCGGTTTGTTACTTCCTTCAAGGATGGACACCATAGGAAAAGGAGATAATCGGTTGCCAAGGTCATTCAATGGGTAAATGATTGGGATGAGAATAAAATACAGGTTTTGACTTCCACAGTTACTGAGGTGAGCAGTGTTAAACTGGGTTCTTGCACCTTATCTATGACTTTATATCTGACACTTTTGGAAAGATGTTACCATTTGAATAATCAGACATGTTGATTAATGTGTTTGATTCCATAGCAAATAACCACAAAAAGGTTAAAATACAGATAACTGATGTGGCTCAGGTCCAAGTAAACAATTGAATGTAAGAGATTATGAATTTCGTGGATGTCCTATGAAGTAGGCTAGTGGTAACAATGTTACTGGCATTTTTTCTCTGAAAAGTTGAGCAAAATATCCTTTCCCATGGATTTACCCCATCTGGGATTCAGTGGGAAAGTCAAGGAAAACTGTACCATTTACCTCCATCACTTTAGACTTCTGTATGAGTAACATCTCCCAGGCTATTTGTGAGGGAAGTGATGTACCAGGGCAGAGTGGCTTGTATACAGGGCCTTATTCTAGAAGCATATTGAGTATGCTGGGAGGTTACCATTTTTCTCCTTAGGAAGTTTCTATCTTTATTCTTCTTTGACAAGAAACTTAGGCTTTGATGCCAAGAAGCACAATGAAAAAGAATGGTTTTCCCTTGTCCATTATCTTCCTCTTTTTTGAACCTGAGAATGCACCTATTTATTTCCATGAGAGGTTAACTCTAGAGTGGCAAGCTACTTTTTCATTTTTGTTTATTTTCTCATATCTGATTTCTGCTTTATGATGAAATGGATGGAATTTTTTTAGTACTTTTTAAGTCTAGGTTTAAAAAAAAAAGGTAAGTATGGAATTATAGCATGGAAATTACATTTAAAAAATCCTTGATATAACTGCCGTTCTCACAGCATTTCTAGTTTTTTCCTTATTATAGTACCAGCATCCTTTCTCCTTATTATCAGATGTATTTCTCTTCATTACTAGCAAAAGAGGAAGGGAAAAAAAAAAAAAAGAAAGAAAGAAAGAAAGAAAAAAAAGAGAGGTACAAAGAACTGCAGATCAAGCAGAAAATACTGACATAATAAGTTAATAAGGAATTCCCCCAAAGGTCTTCTTCTGAGATCCCAGTCTTGAAGTGTTTAGGAACTTCACTCATCAGCACAGGCAGACATTTCTGCAGTTTAATGTCCTTAATGTGTTCTGTACAGGCCTTACACTTTCAAAAAGAGGAGGGAGAGAAATTTTCATTAAGCAAAATCTTTCTTATTTTCACATCTGCTCTACAGGGTGGTGTCATTATGCAAATAGACTTTCAAAATGTAGTTTTCTGGGAAGATGTATGCTTTTCTCCTGAAAATTAAACCTGATGTATTGGTGGAACAATGCAGTGTCAACTTTTACTATGTCAGATGGTCTGTGAAGAACTAGAGGGGCTAGGATATCCTTCCTTAGAAAATTATTTTGAAATTCCTGACAGCTGGTGCAATCTGACACATTTTAAAAACAAAATATTTACCAAGAAACACTTTCAAATTAATAAATTTCATGTCACTTATTTGCTTACTAACATTGTATCTTAAGGTGGCCCAAGGACAAGTAATTCTTTTCCACTGCAGGTACAGTAGCAGTATTCAGAGGAGAGCAATATCATGAAAAGGGATTTACTAATATTACTTAAAATATCAATTAAAGGTTCAGATCAAAAATGAGGAGGTCATAGGATATGAAGATGTCATAGGATAAATGAGGAGGTCATACAATAAAATATGGTCTTTGTTTATGATCCAGGAGGAAACAGTGTCATGTTATAGGTTTAGCTGCCAAGAGAATGTGATAGGCATTTTGCTAAAACCAATGTCTTCACATCAGGAAAATGGTGGGATGAAAATGATTATGCAGGTTTAGGATGAAAAGTAGCTGGGCAAAACTGAAGTAATGCTGTTCAGTGAGCTGAAATAAAAAGTTGTTTGAGTATCATCTCAGCCTCCCTGTTGAAGATATATACCTATTTGTCAACATGTGACAAAGTCTTGGGAAGATAAGGGGGGTTGTGTTTATCTGCTGATGAAATTAGAATGAACAGCTAAAGTTATTTTCTAAACAGTGAGGTAAGATTGAACAGAAGACTAGGAAACATCCATTTAAGACATCATAGTATCCATCTATGAATATAACCTTCCCCTAAGGAATCACCAAAGGTGATCAAAAAATGTTATGCAGAAGGCTGATGCCATATATCTGATGGTTCGGCCCAGTGTGGATGTAATAGGTCTTTAGAGAAGTCTTTCAGCTACTCACATTGGCCGTTGATGCCAGTTTATAGCTCTTGTCCTAGTTTACAAAGCAGCTAATGCATTGAGTCTCATCTACATAGAAGACCAAACTTCTGTGACGGTTGAGGATATTACAGATCCCAAATATAAAAACACTTATGTGTTTGGGAGAAGGAAGAGGTGGAGAAATAAAGGTTCGCTATGGGATGGCCTGGCCTTGGAGACCATGCAAATCCAAATGCTGATCACAATTTAGCATGCATTAAAAATCACTTACATCCTATGTGACCGTGATATTCTCAGATTTATTCCTAAATTTATATTTTCCAAAATCCCTAGTCGAAGCAGAATTTTAGCCTCGAAGATGGCAAAGTGACAGTGACCCTGAAATTCCCTGGAGATTTCAATATTGCTTTTATTTTGTATGTGAAAAATCCTCATGTCTTAACACTGACACTCATCACTGTGCTAAGAAAAGTAAGACATAATAAGGTGGCATTCCACCTGAAGATAGAGATAAATCTGTGGGTAGAATGGAGCAATGTAGGTAGAAGAATAATATTTGTACCAGGATACATGCATTGATTTCAGGTTCCATTTCACAGTTTTCTAAACTGTGGGTAGGGGGCTGTTAATGGACTTTATCTCATGGGGAGATGACCACACAGTGATTTAACTTATAACTTGTTTAATTATAAAAACAACATGGCTCAACACTAGCACCCACCTTAGAGAAAGTATCCCTATATAGCAGACCAGCTTGTCTAGATAAAAGAAGCATGGCACATGGGATCCATCCTATATACCAACTGTGGTGATTTTGAGGACTAAAATGCATTCAGTTCTAAAACACATCTAAAATTAAGTTTAGTTGACTAGGTAGGTTGGAAGAAGTCCCATTGCTTTAGGCAAACACAAAGCTAACCAAGGATGACCTTTGTGCAAAAGTCTGTTGAGCTTGTGGATATTTATAAATTAGGTATAGCAGACTTTGCCACACTATGTGTTAATTTATTATTTTTATTTATTTATTTATTAAAAAGAATGCTAGTTATGTTATCTGTTCTCTAGGAAAGACTACTTCTTAATGCTAGCTCCATTTTTCAGCTGAGTTTAGTTGCCCTTCCTTCCTGTCCTCTGTCCTGCCTGTCCTTGCAACTTTTGAATAGACCAAGAAGACCAAGAAGCAGAGGCCTGGAGACACCCCTGCAACCAAGCTCATGCAGCACTGGCTGTAGGCTTGTAGTCTGTAAGAAGAATAATAGCTTTGAACATCAGTGTCTACAGTGTCCATTGTGCATGAGCCTAGGGCCTCAGGTCAGTGTTGGCTTGGGGATCTCTGCACCACACCGTCTTCCCTGGTTTTGATAGCCATGGTTGTTCAGTCCTTGTCTTCCTTGACCAGTAATTGAAAAAAGGGCATTTATGACCTGTATAGCTGTCAAATCCTTTCAGGCTACTGAGATCAGAAAAATCCAGCAGGATCAGATCACTCATCCTACTCATATTAATGTGTCTTTTCAAATACTGCATTGTTGAATTAAATAATTGGTGTAGGTGAAGTTGGAGATACTATAAAAAAAATACAGTTAGTTTCATGTGGATTGAAGGCAAATTTGGAGGCTGGTGCTCTACAGACATGCAATGAAGTTTAATTATCTCTTTAATCTCTTATATTAAAACCTAGCAATAAATTAAAAGAAGATGAAATTGATCTGCAAGAACTTGATGGGGACAAAGCAAGGACCAAAGAAAACCAGAAATATTATGCATAATGAAGAAAATGGCTAATGATCACTTTAATCAATTAAATTAGAGTTGGAAAGGCTGCAAGGTCAAGTATTCCATCCAAGGCCTCTGACAGCTTATTTCCTTATCACTGAGAAAACAGTTTTCAATTTCATTCCTGATTTTGGCTCATCCTTTACTTCTAGCTAACCAACAAAATCTGTCTGAATTTCACAGATATGATCCTATTTTTTTCAGAAAGCTTAAGGCAAAATGAAGAAGGCATTTGCAAGAATGGAGGGCTAAAAATATGTGGGATTTCCACTAGAAAACACTCTTCCGTAGCTCACTCTAATCTTTTGTGGCTTTGCCTGGAACAGCTTTGCATTTATTGTCTGCCCTGGTCCTTAGCAGCAAATTGTACCTTTGGTAGACTACAAGAATGTGGGGGGTAGGGCTGTGAGCAACTGAGGTTCTCAATGAGATAGGGTTATACTGTGTCATGACTTGGGCACTTTCCACCAGGTAGCTACGAGCTCCCCAAAACACCCCCATGAGCCTTCAGGATGATGAATAACATTGTGGTTTGGGCACAGGCTCCAGCTAGCCTGATCAGGAGCAGCTTCACTGTATGACATTTTCCCGGGCACTGGTATGTCCAGCTGACCCATGTTTCCAGACTTGGTAACAAGCCAGAAGTAGGGGAAGCACTCTGCTGTTTCTACTTTTGCTGATAAAGGACCTTGGCAGTGGTGGGTTTTGGGTGGCACTTAAGGCTAGCACTCCAGTATATGTTTCTGTATCCAGGTAAACTGAGGTTCATTACATCAAATGTAAGTAGATCCACTGCCTTATCAAAGCAACAGGCTTGTAGTCCTCCCTAGATCAGTTGCTGGCGACAGTTTTTTGTCAAGAAAGACTGGATGGGGAGGGAGAGGACTGTATGTAAAGTGGTAGAGAGGACGTGCCTGTCTGTTCATCGCAAAAATCAGACAAAAATCTGTATAACCTGAAAGATGCAACAGACACTTGAGAATTGCTCTCTGTTCCCATTGTGGTCTTAAACAATAAGACTGATGTAGG